CGGCAGAGTTCCCCATCCGCATCGCGCAGCTACTCTTCAGAGAAGCGCGGATGTTGTCGATGCAAGAATGTCGGCGCGAGCCTTCTCAATCCCCAGCAGTTCTCGATCGTGTTGACTCCGATGTGTTTGGGTTCAGTACGGGGAATGAAGCGTGCTGCTCCGCGCAGAACACATACCGAGCCGAGTAGGCCCTGATGTGGCGCGTCCAGGCGTCTAGATGGCCCTGATGAGGCACCCTCTCACTTCCAATGAATCTGTCCGAGGCAGCAGCTGGAACACGTCCCACTCAATCCGACTTACACTGCGCACGCAGGGGAAAGAACGGAGAGTGCACGATGAGCAAAGGTAAGTTGTAACCAACGGCAACGACTGTCGGCTTCATAAGAGATACCACCAATTCGCACAGGTAGCGAGGCTACGGTGCACTCAACCTTTTAACAGCCATTTGACGATGCACTCAAAACCTTTTAGTGAGGTGTCGTGCTCGAAATGAGTGAGGCAATTTTGCCTCGCTCAATCAGAGCGATGACTATAAGGCTCACCCTATTTGAGTCATATGCACCGAATTCTCACTCTGAAGGAGTAAGATTTCCCTGACCTTGCCCAATTGCAGTGAGAAACCTCACTCTCTCTCTTATTGGGTGAGGATCGCAAAGTCTGACTCAAATTGAGTGAGAGTCAGATATCTCGCTCTCAGGAGAGTGAGAATTTTTGTGTAACTCATCTCGCTCTCCTGAGAGTAAAAATATCTAACTCTATCATTTGCAGTGCGGCAGACCTTAGTAGACGCTGTCGCACCGACCGGCCCGGCAGACGACGCGGCGCCGTCGCCGGGCTGGGATGGGGCACGAGAGGGGGGAGGAGGGAGGAGGCGAGCTAACGGACGGTGTGTTTTGGGGTGTGTATCTTCCCTGCTGATCCGGCGTGGCGGGTGTCCAAACACCCTTTCCACCCTCCCCCCACCACGACTTTATCTGAGGGAAATCAACGACATAATCCGGCAGGGAGCTGCGGCAATATTGTCCTACCCCCACCTCTTCTTTTCCTGAATCCAGCTTGAGGTCGAAACAAACACAACGCGCCCACTGTAAATCAGTGTCAGAGAACGCGGAGCCAAACAGAGAAGTTTGGAGTCAGATGTTTAGGTTACTTTCATTATTTTCCTTTGTACCCGCCCGGCAGATTATGTCTGATTATATAAAAAAGTATACCTATGATTTCGGTGGATTTCACAAGATTTCGTTGGATTTCCTATGACGGCGGGTATCAAGCTAAAATGCACTGGCAGATTACGCTGACTCCGTGATTGCAGGTAGGAATCAAATGATTTCGTAAGGATTTCGGGAGCGAAGTATACACATGATTTTGGGAGTTGGAGTTGGGCGTCCCCTCGGAACAATGTGAGCACTCCGCTGTCTTGGCTTTGGCTTTATTCGAGGGCTCGCCTCTGGCCTCGGCTGGCCACTGGTGCCTTGCCAGGCTTGGCCAGCTCCGGCCGCCAGAGCCCCTGCGGACTGGAGCGTAGGCCGCCCGGCGCGCGGCGGCGCGGCGGGGAGCCTTGCGTTGCATACCTCTCAGGCGCTTCCGCATTGCTTCCGCCGCCAGCCCGACCCTCCCGGCCCGGCCCGGACACACTGCAGGCCCAGTTCCAATTAGACCAGACCCAGCCCGCCCCCG